CGCCCCCCCCCCCCCCCTATGGACGAGTTCAATAAAATTTGAACCCCTAAGAAGAAAAGATCAAAGTGCTGACACAAACACCCCCGCAGAAATTAAGAAATTTTTGCCTTACCCCTCAGAAAAAAACGCAAAGATCAAAGGACGCCTATGCACACAACCCCTCAGAAACAGCTTTATCAACCCCCCTCAGAAATTCTTGTCCATAGGGGAGTGTGTATATTAAATGGAATGGCCCCTCTCCCCTTGACAAGTAAAATCATCTGGTGTTAGACAGGGAAAGGGAACATTGTTAATCTTGTCTGCTTATTTTTCATATAATTCATATAATTAATTGCGGCCGCAAGCACCCCCTGCATTATCTGAAATGAACTGTCATGATTTTTTTCTATTTATATAGGTAGCGGAATTGAAAACAAGCAATAATCTTTATAATGAGCAAGACTTTTATGCATTGAAACACATCAAAATTCCAATTCAACCACACAGCTTATTAACAGAACGTGCAGAAGAGGAGAAACGAAGGGAAAATGCCTTGGTGGGGAGTCACAGTTCTCCATGCCAACCAAGACAGTCTAGCCGAGGCGACAATTCCGACTCGGACTATGAAGAAATTGATGAAAATACAAGCCCTAATGTTAGAACTGTAAGCATCAGTGCTAATTTAAAAGACACAGAAAAATTTCTCAAACGAATGGACGATGACATACAAAAGATATGCCAAAGTGTATCAAATCAAGAATCTGACCCTAACGACGTAACTAGAAAATTAACGACACAATGCATACAACCCAGACAAGTTGTTAAAAAAGATGAGGATGAATTAGGAATGCTGTGGTCCGGTTGTGGATGGAAAAGTGCTATCGTTGTGTTTATATTTATTGCAATAATTTTACCATTGTTTTATTTTATATATATGGAAGAATTCTAGTGAAATAATTAGGAATTTAGTAAAAATAATTTATAGAGTGACATAGTAATATTATTTTAATGAAAATGTTTTTAACATAACTTTTTTGTCTTGTGTTTTGACAAACTTTTGTAAACTAGTAATTAAAGGTACATTTTAGTATTTTACACTCCATAACCAGGGGTGCACATTAGGGTGTTGGGCTTTGAACCCCCCCAGCATTCGAAAATCACAAATCGGTCCCAGGTTTCTTTGAGGCCGTATCAAAAGTCAGTCCTCATTTTCTGCTATAAGAATAGTTTAATCCTCACACCACAAATGTCTGTTGTTGTACAGAACAGGAAAGTCCATTGCAGATTGTCCGTCTCCCCCAAGCAACTACAAGATAACACTGCTCGGTTGAAAAAGACATTAGGAGACAGGGCATTTTCTAATGCCTCAGCAATAGTATGGAACAGTCTCCCTGTTTTTATAAGAAGTCAGGAAAATTTTAGTACTTTTAAGTCACTTCTCAAAACACACTATTTCAGGGAAGCTTTTAATGCATAAATTTTAGAACTTGAGCGGTAACTGTTTTTGTAAATATTCTAAATTTTATTTATTTATATTTTTAAATCTATAGCTAGTTTAAGTAGTTTGTAAAGCGCATTTGATCATACCAATTGCATGTTAATTTGCGCTATATAAGTAGTAAATTATTATTATTATTATTGTTGAATGTGAACTCCTATCTACAACAACTTTAGCCTGCTAGGGCTGTTACCATTCATATAGCTGTTATAAGTGTACATGTTTGTAGCCTGGTTGAAACTTCAGAGCATCTTAAAGCCTGGTTCACACTAGCAATTTTGTCTGCGATTTTGTCTTTCTGACGGATGCAAATGAGTGAACTCGCACACAAAAGTATAGAGTCACTTTTCAGAAGTAAACAATTCCAAGTCTTTTGCATGTCATAATTGTCATTCATTCAATCACATTTGCCAGGAGGAGAAAAATCCCCGATTAAATTGCTAGTGTGAACCAGGCTTTACAGTTGTTCATATTTAATATTCCCGTCCAACAAATGTGTCCTGATTACTGTTCTAGTTCTGACGTTTATTCCATAATTTATAAAATTCTTAATATATTCTACAAAAATACAAGGTCAATATATAATTTTCAAATAACTAGAAGTCTATACACCGTCCTTTTCTTTCCCAGTCACCATAACGTGTCGGTTCTGGTCCCTTTGGTCCGCCTTTTTCACCAGTAACTGGATTGACATCATTTGGAAACGCTGCATATGGGTCTTTCACTCCTTGCTTTTCATTGGAGGCTGATTCCTTGCTAATTTCGCCCGCTTTACTCTCGCTTTCGCCCTTATTTTGTGAATCTGATAGCCCTCTTCCTGTTAATCTGTAGTTTACTGTCATTCTTGAGCTATTAAGTAGAGTTTTTGACAAATTTCTGACCATTTTGCTGAGAGAAGTGGACGCCATTTTTAATGAAATGAATAAAAGTACAAAAATCCGCAAAGACTGGAAACTAGTAACAGTTTTGGCGGGAAGAAGATAAACAATATGGCCGACAATTTTATATTTCAAATTTTTCAACAATTTATCGTATTTTCTACAAGCTGGGCGATTTATTTGGAGATATAAGGGAATAATATCTGTAGAGGAATATAATGAATAAAAGTGAAATGCTTTAAAACCATGGAGGTGGAGGGAATTGCAGCAGGATCAACAGGAAATCCAATGAACTTGAAGGAGATATTTTATACCAATCTCTTGTTGTTGGAGTTCGATACTGAAGCTCAAGAAGCCAAGTATCGAATACCGTTTAATAGGTGAGATGAATTATTGCATCTTGTGTTTTCCCTGAGGGCTGAGGAGTTCAAAACACTATAATATGTGAAAAATCATCTGGCATTATTAAATATTAATTAAATAGAGTAAATCAGTAAAATATAAACTAAGAAACCCTCGACACAGTGACCCTTACTGGAAGGTTTGGAAATTGCCCACCTGAGATTTTGAAAATTTAATAGTAAATGTGTATCTTGATTGTGCAATACAAACTTTCCATAATGACCGTCGACAAATAGATTTAGTCCTCTGTTTTGCTGACTTAAGTTCCGAGAAGGGTGAAGGGCCATCTGACTGGAAAGTTTGGCAATTCCGCAACTGAGATTTTGAAATTTCAAAATTGTGTGGCCGATATCTTGATTTCACACACAATATCTCGATTGCATGATCAAAATACAAACTTTCCACACTGGGGAAGGGGTTAGCTCAAAATCTGTGATTACAAAATATTGGGACGAGCGATGCTATATGTAAAATAATATTCAGTAGCTAGTTGCAAATTGGTAGGGGGAAGGGGCTCGTTCAAAGCAATTGTGGAACAAGTCCGTGCAGTGTGATGAAATATATTGTTGACAGTTCCTAAGTAGGACTGTAGGGTGCATCAGGGTGCAATGCCATTTGAAAAGTTACAATTTATTCTTATCTTTTACAGTGATATGTTTCTATATCCAAACAAAAAAGCAATGGAGGTTGTTTTGCATTTCCTGTTTTGTAAACTGGATGCACCGCTGGCCTTTCAAGAATTTAGGTAAGTGTACAGAAGTGAAAAGTAGTACATAAAAAAGTCAAAACAATGAGTGACTGGATTGAATAGAGAATATTGGGATTTTCAAAATAATGAAAAGATGATCCAGAGCTCCCTCATGGAGAGAATTGGAAGTTAACCCCTACTCTCCCCCCCCCCCCACCTTTGCCCTTTGGATGTCCTAGTACATCCTACTATCAATTGTATACGTATGTAACTAGATGATATTTGATATTAAGTGAAAAATCTTTGTTAATTTGCAGAGACTGTTGGCCTGTTCGAGATAAAAAGATGGAACAAGAATTTCGCAAATCTTGTAACAGTTGGTTAACAAAGATCTCAAAAGTATATTCCATTACTTTTAACTAATGTGCTTACTAGGGACCAATAGTGAATACTGTAAAATTGCACTCATCTAAATGCATATCATATTTCATATTTTGTCATAAACTGATGAACAGGAATATAGTGGCATCAGCAGTTGTTTTCAATCGTATATGACTAGTCGTATTGTGTAAATGGGCCTTTCATGATATGACTATATAATTTAAGGTTGCTTATTACTGTAATTGTGTAATTAAGTTGGATATTTTATGGAATGTATTCTACTTGTAGGAGGAACCTGATTCAAACTTACCAAGAATTGGTCCAACTCTCTTTTTATCTCCAGGAGGTATGTATGTAGCACATAACTTTGGCACAGCTACATGTGAGTTACGTACAGTACCCTCAGGCCCACTGAGAAGGGGCACTTTGCCCTTGGCTCGAAGCTCAAAAGGGGCAACAAAGGCCCAGCTTAAAAGTTTTTGATACAAGATTGCTTAACTGAGAATATAAATCATAATGCTGGATAATATGCAATAAAATGTAATATATTGTAAAACACCACTTTTCCTGTTTTACAATTATGCATGGAGACCCCTTGGAGAAGTTTTACCCTGCACAACCTCCCCGCAGCCCTGTGTGTTCTTACAGTGTTCTTGCTGATAACAAGAGAAAACAAAATTCTCCTTTCAAATGTTATTAATAATAGACCTTTATAAAAAGGTTGACGTCAGCAGGCTTGTGACGTAGTTTGCGGAGGAAATCCCGAAAGCTTAGAGTTGTTTACTTGTTTTGAGTTTTTTAAGAGCCAAAAGAAGCCAGTATTATGGTAAGTTTGAAGTAAATATTTCTATATATAGGCCAAATAAGTTTTCAATATTCGTTAGAGTTTAAATTTTATTTGTTTTTATATTAGATTGTACATTTATTTTACTGTCAACATTTAGCAAATTGTTCACTCGGTTTGTTTACATATTTCGTTGCTAAAAAGTATATTTTTTCTTTTTTGTTTCTCAAATTCATCAGTTTAATCATCAGAATGGCCCAACCTGGCAAAACCTTGATAGAAAATTAAAGCTAGATTGTTGACCCAGACACGGAAAGTGTTATACACGATTGATAAAAGCTACTTGTCATGTATGTTCACTTCAACTATTTATCGATAAAATAATAGACTTAGTCTTAGTTTATATGTCTAAGTTCACTTATGACTTATGTACCTCTTTGCACGATCACTGAGCCTGTGTATTGCTGTCTACAGCTTGATTGGGGCCATTCTGATGATTAGACTGATGAATTCGAGAAACAAAAAAGAAAAATTCTACTTTTTAGCAAAGAAATATGTAAACAGACCGAGCGAACAATTTGCTAAATGTTGACAGTAAAATAAATGTACAATCTAATATAAAATCAAATAAAATTTAAACTCTAACGAATATGAAAACTCATTTGGCCTATATATAGAAAAATTTACTTCAAACTCACCATAATACTTGTTTCTTTTGGCTCTTACAAAAACTCAAAACAAGTAAACAACTCTAAGGCTAAGCTTTCGGGATTTCCTCCGCAAACTACGTCACAATCCTGCTGACGTCAACCTTTTTATAAAGGTCTATTGGTGCATCCTTTTTAATAGCTAAAAACTATAACAATTATTATTAACCATTTATTTACAATTTATAATATCATTTAGAACATAAAAAGTATTGGTATCATCAAACAAGGTATTCTCTTCATGTCTGTCTAACTCGCAAAATTTTATGGTTTAAAGGCTCATGCACTTACATTCGGATATAAGCGCATGCGCCTTTATGTGCAGTGCACTTATATGCGGGTAATAGGGTAATCTCGAATCACATGGTTTAGTGCTAAGTGTACCACGATGATGTACTTTTTCCTATCAAAGCCATAGAAATTGGGGTCTGGATGAAAGGAAGAGGGCATGAAGAAGCTCCAGACAGTGAGCTTTATATATGTCTGGAGTACGAACTTCAGTCAGTCTATGAGAGAAGTGAAGCCAAGGTGGCAGAAATTGAGTCCAAAGTCTATACCATTTTCCCAGCTAATTCATGATTTTTCTAACGAATCGTATCGCTAATCAAGTTATCACTTCATAAACCATAGTACTGTATATTAGTATTATTCTTTAAATCGTACATATGTTACCCAGCATGCCTTGCTGGCTATCTAGCTAAATCCTAACGTATTTATGATTATCCTACAGATACCACGTATAGACAGAGTTTTAAAACATATTTTGCAAAAAGGATTAAATTGAATTATCACTCATTGAAACATCAAATTAATATTTTCTTTTTTTTTTCATTTAGGTTAACTCCATAATATGATCGCAAGTACCTTAAGTTTTGCCATTTTATTTGGTCTTGTTTTTATGTTATTTCCTTGTGAAGGTAAGGACTCTGCTAGTAAACTAGGTGTCATGATCTGTTTCCATATAAATGCAAATTTCACACAATGTATTATTTATCAGGTTATTTTATTTTTTTATTTTATTTTAACTATCAATAACAATATTGCCTAACAATAACAATAACAATATTAATAAAAATAATATTAATAATCTTAATAACAACAAGACGCCTGCTCAATGCGTTCGCTCCGTCGGTAAAGGGGAAGGGCAGCAACTGAATTGTACACAGTTGCACATCTGGTTCCCAGAAGGCTTGGGATAAGTATCATTGTGAAATAATGTGATATATAGTATCTGGTGTTCCATCAAATTTCTTACTGTGTTTTATGTCATTATTGTATTGTGGGTTGAAAAATTTTTCTTTTTGGATAGAGAATGTTTCAAGAGAACTGGTAACAGTTTCCAATATTCTTCAGGGACATAACCATCAATCCATTATACATTAATATTAATAATTATAATTAATGAAGAGCATAGCCGTTGATAACCTCCTCATGATAACCAAAGTAATGAGCAAAATTTCACAGATGACATAGTCATAGAGAATATGGCATGGTCATAGAGATTAGAGAATATGTTGTGCAGATCCAACATTAACCTACTGAATCATCAATAGCACAGTATAAATAAGGAGCCACGTCCATATTCATGTTCATGACAACTTCATCACGGAGAAAATTAGGATTTCGTTATTGGTAGTCGCCGCTATTAAAGTCTCTCCATGGCAACCGCGGTAACCAAGGCAATGAATGCATTTCACTAGCAATATATTTTTTACCGTTGTTTGTTTAAAATCCGAAACAATTTACCGATTTTGTGAAGAAAATAACAATGCCCTTCGAAGAGCTTTGCGTTGGGCAAGATGGCGAAGCCGTAGATGAGAACGGAGTTTGGTTTCCATGTCATATTAAGGAGAAAGCAGCAACTTATGTCGTAGTTTCTTTTCCACCATGGCCTGAGCACTTCGCATCGATAACGCTTCGCTTCGACAGATAACGTCGAGTGTTTTGTCAACGGTCAGTTTTCTGGTACCTCTTCTACATCCAGAGGAGTTCCTCAGGGTTCAATAATCGGGCCTCTGCTATTGGTCTATATCAATGATCTCCCAAACTGCCTGAATGAGGGTTTCACAAGGATGTTTGCTGACGATACCAACCTAAATTTTAGTAGTGATAATTTATCCCACCTTGAATTTCTGATGAATTCTAGTCTGATTAACCTAAACAGATGGTTAATAGCCAACAAATTAAGTTTGAATATTGCTAAAACTGAGTTCATGATCATTGGTTCACGTCAGCGTTTAGCAACTTTTAATAATTACGAGCTAAGTGTCTCGGTCGACAATGTGCCAGTGAGGCAAGTTAGTTCCACTAAAACCCTAGAGCTAACCTTGGATGAAAACCTTACTTGGAGAAACCATGTTGAGGTCATTACTGAAATTATCTCTTCTGGTATTGGGGCTCTAAAACGGGTGCGTGGTCTGATTGACCAAGAAACTGCAATTAAAGCCTATAAAGATTTTATTGGACCATACTTCTCCTATTGTGCCCCAGTATGGGACGGGCTCGGAGTAACTCTAAGTGATAGGCTTCAGAAACTTCAAAACAGAGCAGCTCGTGTTATTACCCGCTCTACTTACGATATTTCATCTAGTCATCTTCTAGATCAGCTGCAGTGGAACACTTTGTCGGTTAACCGTCATAAACAAAAAGCTGTTGTTATGTTTAAAACTCTTAATGGTCAATCTCCCCAGTACTTACAAGAATTGTTTTCATCCAGGAATTGTCAGTATTCACTAAGAAATTCTAATGGAAAGTTGTTTATTCCTAAGACCAATACCGATTATCTTAAGCGCTCCTTCAGTTATAGTGGAGCATCACTTTGGAACAGCTTGCCTGAATCTCTTAGATTATCATCATCCCTCTCCTCGTTTAAAGGAAGTCTGGAATCTCTATATTCTTCCAGTCTTACTGACTCCCACACGGCAACCAGGTAGAACAGTACCTCTCCTCTTTCCTTCAATCTTGTCTTCTTCCTTAAGTTATATTAACTGTTTTTATTTGTAACAAGACGCTCTACAGAGCGTAAACTCGCTGGGGCTATACAAATGAAAACTAAATTTTGTCACGATATTTGCTCATAATTTGGTAACCGCTACAGAAAAACAGAATAATTTACAGTAAATTACAACAGATTGCGGAAGTGGGAAGGTTCTTGTATTTTGACTGTAGCATACTGTAAAACATTACCAGTAAGTTAGTACAGTAGCGCTAACATCAAGTTTTGTTGCCGCTATACCTAGGCAGTTTACAGATATAGACAAGTATAATCAACTCGAATACAGTTTAGAGTGAGACTTTATTGAGGAGAAATAGTACAGAAAGAGCTGACAGTTCAGTTAGCAATACTTGCAGATACGCATCGAAGTATCATTATGCAATAAAATAATCACAGATTTTTCTACAGTATACATCGTATAAGAACAAAATTCTTGAAACAATCACTAGGACTATTTGAAGTTTAAATATTCAGTTTGAGTATGAATTATGATTTTATAATCACGGAATAAATCTTGCATCTGAACAAACCAAACTTGGCAAGTTATTTAATGCATGGAAACCATTTCTGTAAGCTTTTATAATGTTTATTTTTTATGAACCGTCGACAGTTCAATTTCAATGATTTACCAGCATTCGGCCCAGTAGAGACGGCGATGTTCGTTGTAAAGGTACCAATAATGAGTACCTGTAAAGGTACCAATAATGCCAGTGTAAAGGTACCAATAATGACAGCCGTATTTCAAGGAACTTGTGAAATCGCCAAAAAACCACTTTAATAGCAATATTAATTGAATAGCGTACAAATTCACGAACAATTCATAGCGTCCATTCCAGCCCGTGATCAGAATAGTGGAGACA